GCTGAGCATCGACCTGTGAACCAGGAGGTCCAGGTTCGATTCCCGGTCAGGGCACTTGCCCAGGTTGTGGGCTCCATCCCCAGTGGGGGGCGTGCAGGAGGCAGCTGATCCATGATTTTCTCTCATCATTGATATTCCTATCTATCTCTCCCTCATCCTCTCTGAAATCAATAAAAACCTGTACTAATAAAAGGGTAATATGCTACTTAGACCAGACATCTTCCAGACAATCTTCCGGACGTCCTTCCGGACAAAGCCACGGTGGCGGAGCCGAGGCAGAGGAGGTTAGGGGCAATCAGGCCGGCAGGGGAGAGCAGTTAGGGGCAATCAGGCCGGCAGGGGAGAGCAGTTAGGGGCAATCAGGCCGGCAGGGGAGGGCAGTTAGGGGCGATCAGGCCGGCAGGGGAGGGCAGTTAGGGGCGATCAGGCCGGCAGGGGAGGGCAGTTAGGGGCGATCAGGCCGGCAAGGGAGAGCAGTTAGGGGCAATCAGGCCGGCAGGGGAGGGCAGTTAGGGGCGATCAGGCCGGCAGGGGAGGGCAGTTAGGGGCGATCAGGCCGGCAGGGGAGGGCAGTTAGGGGCGATCAGGCCGGCAGGGGGACAGTTAGGGGCGATCAGGCCGGCAAGGGAGAGCAGTTAGGGGCAATCAGGCCGGCAGGGGAGGGCAGTTAGGGGCGATCAGGCCGGCAGGGGAGGGCAGTTAGGGGGGATCAGGCCGGCAGGGGAGGGCGGTTAGGGGCGATCAGGCCGGCAGGGGAGGGCAGTTAGGGCAGTGATGGCGAACCTATGACACCGTGTCAGAGGTGACACGAGAGCTCATTTTTTTGGTTGATTTTTCTTTGTTAAGTGGCATTTAAATATATAAAATAAATATAAAAAATATAAGTCTTTGTTTTACTCTGGTTGCAAATATCAAAAAATTTCTATATGGACACGGCACCAGAGTTAAGTTAGGGTTTTTCAAAATGCTGACACACCGAGCTCAAAAGGTTCGCCATCACTGAGTTAGGTGGATCAGGCCAGCAGGGGAGAGCAGTTAGGGGCGATCAGGCCGGCAGGGGAGGGCAGTTAGGGGCGATCAGGCCGGCAGGGGAGGGCAGTTAGGGGCGATCAGGCCGGCAGGGGAGGGCAGTTAGGGGCGATCAGGCCGGCAGGGGAGGGCAGTTAGGGGCGATCAGGCCGGCAGGGGAGGGCAGTTAGGGGCGATCAGGCCGGCAGGGGAGGGCAGTTAGGGGCGATCAGGCCGGCAGGGGAGGGCAGTTAGGGGCGATCAGGCCGGCAGGGGAGGGCAGTTAGGGGCGATCAGGCCGGCAGGGGAGGGCAGTTAGGGGCGATCAGGCCGGCAGGGGAGGGCATCAGCCAGGCAGGCAGAGTGGTTAGGGGTGATCAGGCAGGCAGGCAGGAGAGCAGTTAGGAGCCAGCGGTCCTGGGTTGCAAGAGGGGTCCTGGATTGGAGAGGGTGCGGGCCGGGCTGAGGGATCCCGCCCCCACCCCTCCACCCCCCACCCCTGTACAAATTTCGTGGAGCGGGCCTCTAGCATATTATAAAAATAAGAACGGCATCTTGTGTTTATGTTGCCTAACCTGCTACTGCTTTAAAACTTCCGGGTACTTTGCGCCTCATTCCTACGTGCCCCCTGAAGCAAGCTCACCTCACGGCTGCCCCGCATTCCACGGGATAGAAGTTCCAGGCTATTTTTTAAATACATTTTTACTGATTTCAGAGAGGAAGGGAGAAGGAGCGAGAGAGAAACAACACCCCCCACTGGGGATGGAGCCCGCAACCCGGGCCTGTGCCCCGACCGGGAATCGAACCCTGACCTCCTGGTTCCTAGGGCGGCGCTCTATCAACTGAGCCACGCCGGCCGGGCCGGGCTACTTTTAACCGTAACTCCTCTCTCCCTGAAGTCTAGATGAATTCAGAGTTCTCCTTAGGATGGATCCCTACCAGTGGAATTTCTGTACGTTCAGAAAGGCAGAGTTTAAGGCGCTGAACACACACAGTAGAGCTGCTGTCCAGAAGGTCTGTGCTGGTGTGTCTTCCCACCAGCAGGACGTAAGTGTGTCCGTTTTTCTGACTCTCACCAACGCTGTGTATTGTGTCTTTTTCACGTTATGCTATTTGGTATGTGAGAGGAGACGGTATCCGAATATTTCAATTGGCAGTTATGAGGAACAGGAGACGGAATTTTCCCCAAAGGCTTACTGTGTGTGCATATGTGTTACATGTGTGTGTAGTTATGCATCGCATGTGTGTACACGCACACATGTGTGATGTGGGTGCGCATGCACACATATGTATATGTGCCTGTGCATATACGTGTGCCCGTGCATGTGTGTGCGTACACACACATCCTATATAATAAAAGCCTAATATGCTAAGTGTCCGGTCGTCCAGCCGTCCATTCAACCAATCAAGTCGTAATATGCTAATGATATGCTAAGGCCACCCAACCACGCGCTATGACATGCACTGACCACCGGGGACAGACAGTCGACCGGTTCACCAGCCGCTATGACATGCACTGACCACCGGGGGCAGACAGTCGACCGGTTCACCAGCCGCTATGACGTGCACTGACCACCGGGGACAGACAGTCGACCGGTTCACCAGCCGCTATGACGTGCACTGACCACCGGGGGCAGACAGTCGACCGGTTCACCAGCCGCTATGACGTGCACTGACCACCGGGGGCAGACAGTCGACCGGTTCACCAGCCGCTATGACGTGCACTGACCACCGGGGACAGACAGTCGACCGGTTCACCAGCCGCTATGACGTGCACTGACCACCGGGGGCAGACAGTCGACCGGTTCACCAGTCGCTATGACGTGCACTGACCACCGGGGGCAGACAGTCGACCGGTTCACCAGTCGCTATGACATGCACTCACCACCGGGGACAGACACTCCGACTGGTAGGTGAGCTTCTGCTGGCGTCCTGCCGATTGGGACTGAGTGAGACGGGCCGGACATGCCCTGAGCCTTCCTGCGGCCCCTCCCCGGCCCCGATCGTGCACCGGTGGGGTCCCTAGGCCTGGCCTGTGCCCTCTCACAACCTGGGACCCCTCGAGGGATGTCGGAGAGCTGGCCGGTTTCAGCCCGATCCCCCAGGCCAGGCCAAGGGACCCCACTGGTGCACGAATTTGTGCACCGGGCCTCTAGTGTACGTATATGTGCATATACGTGTGTGCGTGCGTGCGTGTGTACATACACTTTAACACCCTTTTCATATCCTTGGCTCATTTTTCCCTCTGGAGTTAAAAGTCTGCTTTTTTGGTCACTTTCCTCTTTTTTTTGTCCAAATCGTCCATACGGTGCCTCCTGGCAACGGCACTAAGTAGGACACATTCTTCCTCCTCCATGTGACTCCCCCTCAAATACTTACAGACAGAAATCACGTCTCTCTTTCTCCAAGACAAACACCCCGGCTCCTGCTACCAGGCCTCCCGAGGCCAAGTTTCCAGGGCGGGCGGCTGCTGAGGACCTCGTGCGTAATACGTCCCGCCGCCCTGCCGCCCTGTCCCCGCGGCACTCACGGCCCAGAACCCCCTGCGACTCCCGCCGAGCTCGCCCCGAGCGGCCCCTGCAGACTCTCGGGATGTGCCGCCCCCGCCTGCACCCCGGGCCCGGGCCCGCCTCCCGCTCACCCACAGGACGCCACGCGTTAGGCGTTGCTGGTGGGACACTGTGCGCCGGGAGCCCCAATCAAGTGGTGAGAGGGAGCGAGCACGTAGAGGCCAAAAACAGGAAGAGGAACTGGCCGGGTGTAAGGACCGTAATTAACTCAAATGAGGAAAGCGTTGAGAAGGGGGTGGTCAGCCCGGCCGGCCAGTGTGGCTCAGGGGTTGGGCGTCGACCTATGAACCAAGAGGTCAGGGTTCGATTCCGGTCAGGGCACATGCCCAGGATGCAGGCTGGATCCCCAGTGTGGGGCGTGCAGGAGGCAGCCGATCCATGATTCTCTCTCATAACTGATGTTTCTATCTCTCCCTCTCCCTTCCTCTCTGAAATCAATGAAAACCCCAATTTTTTTGGGGGGGAGGGGCAGTGAATCTATATATATATATATAAAAGCCTAAGCAACCGAACGATCGGTTGCTATGACGTGCACTGACCACCAGGGGACAGACATTCAACGCACAGGATTGGTCTCCCTCCTGTCTGGGTTGGGCCTGTGGGGATCGGGCCTGTGGGGATCGGGCCAAAACCAGCTATCCGACGTCCCTCGAGGGGTCCCGGATTGCGAGAGGGTGCAGGCCAGGCCAAGGGACCCCACCAGTGCACGAATCCGTGCACCAGACCTCTAGAATGAATATATATATAAATATACATACATGTATACATACATACACACACACACACACACACACACACACACACACATAAAAGTGTAATATGCTAATTAGACCAGACGTCCTTCCGGACGACCTCCTAGATCAGTGGTTCTCAACCTTCCGGCCCTTTAAATACAGTTCCTCATGTTGTGACCCAACCACAAAATTATTTTCATTGCCACTTCATAACTGTAATGAATCGTCATGTAAATGTCTGGTATGCAGGATGGTCTTAGGCGACCCCTGTGAAAGGGTCGTTTGACCGCCAAAGGGGTCGTGACCCACAGGTTGAGAATCGCTGTCCTAGATGAAGCCGGGGCTACGAGGGAAGCCAGTGCCAGCAGCCAGGGAAGGAAGGCCTACTCTTGCAATAATTTCATGCACCAGGCCTCTAGTGTGTGTGTGTGTGTGTGTGTGTGTGTGTGTGTGTGTGTGTGTGTGTGTGTCATAATGCTTAACACCTGAGTATCTCAGACGGTTTTTTCCAAGTAGCTGCACCATTTTACCTTCCCGCCAGCAATACGTGAGGGTTCCAAGCACTCCCCGCCCTCGCCAACCCTCCCTCTTGCCCGTTTTCACCATCCGAGGGCCAGAGGCAGCAGCTCCTCCCCACGTGCAGCTACTCCTCTGCACGTTCGACTTCTGCCCAGCAGGCTCTGCTCACCTGCCGGGGGCCAGGCCTTGATGTAGCCGGTGCAGTGGACCACGGCGTACTGGGCTTCCCCTTCCTTCACAGGCCCCAGGCCGTTCCTGCGGGGAGAACGGCAGGGACATGGCTTCCGGCCCCCGGGGGTCAGGCGAGGGTGCTGATGGCTGCTCCCATACCGAAGCCACCGGGGTCCCAGGTTTGCCTGGTGGTTTTGCATCTTGACTGTTTCCCCTCCTTCCACAGAGTCTGGAAGCCCAAAATAAATTCCCCCAACTCCCTTTCTCATCTCAGCCCCAGAAATCCGTCATATCAGGGCTCCTGGTCCTCCCCACACTCAGCCCCTCTCCACGTCCAGCTACTCCTCTCCCCGTCCAGCTACTCCTGTCCCAGTTCAGCTACTCCTCACCAAGTTCAACTACTCCTCTCCCCATCCAGCTACTCCTCTCCCTGTCCAGCTACTCCTCTCCACGTTCAGCTACTCCTCTCCCTGTCCAGCTACTCCTCACCAAGTTCAACTACTCCTCTCCCCATCCAGCTACTCCTCTCCACGTTCAGCTACTCCTCTCCCTGTCCAGCTACTCCTCCCCACGTTCAGCTACTCTTCTCCCAGTTTAGTTACTCCTCTCCCAGTTCAGCTACTCCTCTCCATGTTCAGCCACTCTCTCCAAGGTCAGGTACTCCTCCCCACGATCAGCTACTCCTCCCCACGGTCAGCTACTCCTCCCCACAGTCAACTACTCCTCTCCCCATCCAGCTACTCCTCTCCCCATCCAGCTACTCCTCTCCAAGTTCAGTTACTCCCCAGCTTAGGGCACTCGGCTACCTCCCAGCGGAGCCCAGAAACACCATCAAAAAAACCCCACTGACCTGAACCTCTTCCTCATGGTGGTGATTCTGCTCAGAGGCAGGTGGTCCAACGGAGCATTTCCACACCTAAGAGTCGACAAACACATTAGAGCGAGTGAAGGCCCCGGGCGAGTTTATAAAACACACAGGGCCCGGCCGGCGTGGCTCTGGGGCTGAACCAGGAGGTCAGGGTTCGATTCCTGGCCAAGGGCACAGGCCTGGGTTACAGGCTCGATTCCCAGTGTGAGGCGTGCAGGAGGCAGCCCATCCATGCATGATCCTCTCTCATCATGGATGTTTCCCTCTCCCTCTCCCTCTCCTCTGAAATCAATCAACCAATCAATCAACCAATCAATCAAACACCCAGGGCTGCCGACCAGGAGGCGGCCCTCATCGGATGCTCACACACGTGAACCCGGATGAGCCCTAATGCCAACCTCCCTCCCAAGTGTAGAAGCTGAGGCCCAGGCTCTGAATTCCCACAGCCCCTGCGGGCGAGGGGAGTGGGGCCCACTTGGCAAGGCACAGGGACCTGCTGCCAGGGCCCAGCCCAGGAGCCGGGGACCCAGCGAAGACCCCGAAGCGAGGCTGGCCACGCTCGGGCCTGCGGTCACTGCCATGGACCCGGGTGGCTCTTGGGGGACAGGGGGAGGGGTGATGACAGCAGCGGCGTCTTCTCAGGCCTGAGCCGACGCGTCAACGCAAAGCAGATGCCGCGGCGGACACGCGTGACACACAGAAGCCGTGTCTCGGGCTCCCATTGGCAGCAACCCCGGCCGCCTCCCAGCACCAGGAGCACGCAGACAGCCGCGCCTGCTGACGGCAGAGGACAGAGCAGGGACGCAGGGCGGGTGTGCGGAGTCAGGTCTCCCTGGGGACCCTCCTCGGGGTGCGGGGGTGGGGGGCGGCCCACCGCCCACTCCGCTGGGACCCCGGCTGCCTCGCTGCTCCGTGACCCGCTCGCTTCCACGCTCCGCCGCCGCCTGGCGTGCCCTCTCGCTACGCGCCTCTGCTCTTCCCGCCTATGTGACCAGTGGTGCCCAGCTGGCTTAGTCGTCCACACAGCACGGAGGGGAATCGAGCTGCAGTGGCCAGGGGTTGAGCGACGACCCAGGAACCAGGAGGTCAGGGTTCGATTCCCGCTCAGGGCACAGGCCCGGGTGGCGGGCTCCATCCCCAGTGGGGGGCGTGCAGGAGGCAGCCGGTCCGTGATCCTCTCTCATCACTCATGTCTGTCTGTCTGTCTCTCTCTCCCCCTTCCTCTCTGACGTTAATAAAGATACATTTTTTAAAAAGATGCAAGTCCATTTTACCCTGAGGCCTGGGACAGCGCCTGCCCTAGCATGGGGATAGGGCGTCTGGGGCAGGAGGGGCCGCCTGGGAGGGCGGGCAGGAGCTGAATAATTCTTGTGTCTCTCTCACGTGGATGTTTCTCTCTCTCCCTCCCTCCCTCCCTTCCACTCTCTCGAAAAACCAACGGAAAAAATATCCTCAGGCCCGGCCGGTGTGGCTCAGTGGAGAGAGCATCGGCCTGCGGACTGAATGGTCCTGGGTTCGATTCCGGCCAAGGGCAGGTACCTGGGTTGCGGGCATATCCCCAGTAGGGGGCGTGCAGGAGGCAGCTGATCGATGTTTCTCTCTCATCGATGTTTCTAACTCTCCCTCCCTCTCCCTTCCTCTCTGTAAAAAATCAATAAAATATATTTTTTTAAAAATAAAATAAAATAAAATAAAAAATATCCTCAGGTGAGGGTTTAACAGAGAATAGAAAAGAAGAAGCCACAGGGGTGAACCCGAGGTGGCTTGTGTGGCTGCGCAGCCAAGCAGGTGGAGGCAATACCCCACTGCAGCCACGCCCACCGCCCCGTAGCCACGCCCACCACCCGCCGCAGCCACACCCACCACCCGCCGCAGCCACGCCCACCACCCGCAGCAGCCACGCCCACCACCCGCAGCAGTCACGCCCACCACCCGCAGCAGCCACGCCCACCACCCGCCACGGCCACGCCCACCGCAGCCACGCCCATCGACAGACCTCATCCTGCAGATGAAGGACCGCCTGGAGCCCATGCACATGCGCATGGACGACTGCTGCCCCTCCTTCTTCACTGTCCCGGTCTTCAGGTCCAGGATCCGGCCTGAGAGAGAGAGAGAGAGAGAGAGAGAGAGAGAGAGAGAGAGAGAGAGAGAGAGAGAGAGAGAGAGAGAGATGGAGAGCTCGCTGCACCCGCTCTGCAATGAGGACCGCAGGGTCCCGCACACCCCTCCTTCCTGGGGGTCCCCAACATCCTTTGGCAGGAAACGCACCGGGCGATGCACTCGTACAATCCCAAACGCCCGTGTTCTTTTAAAAAATATATTTCTATAGATTTCAGAGAGGACGGGAGAGGGAGAGAGAGGCATCCGTGATGAGAGAGGGTCACGGACCGGCTGCCTCCGGCACGCCCCCCGCTGGGGATGGAGCCCGCACCCGGGCCGGTGCCCTGACCGGAATCAAACCCTGACCTCCCGGTTCACAGGTCAACGTTCAACCACTGGGCCCCGCCTGCCGGGCTGAAATGACTTTTAAAATATATACATATTTTTCATTGATTTCAGAGAGGAAAGGAGAGGGAGAGAGAGAGAGAAACATCAGTGATGAGAGAATCATTAATCGGCCGCCTCCTGCACGCCCCCCACTGGGGATCAAGCCCGCAACCCAGGCATGTGCCCCGACCGGGAATCGAACCCTGACCTCCGGGTCCTAGGTCCTTGCTCAACCACTGAGGCTTAGCTTTTAAAACGGAAGGAAGGGAGGAAGGAAGGAAAGGAGGGAGGAAGGAAGGAAAGGAAGGAGGGAGGGAGGGAGGAAGGAGAATCAGCAGTTTGTCTTGGATAAGATAATAAAGGAAGGCTGTGTGCCCCTAAAACGGCTCCCCAGGCCACCACCGGAATACAAATAGAAATTAGAAGGCTTTCCTCAAAGGGACCCTGGAGAAAACAGGAACCATCTTATCTTGTCGTGTTTTTTGTTGTTTTTAAAACAGGAGGCCAAGGGAGACAGCCGGGGAGGAAAAGAGAAAATGATCAGCATGAAAGCAAAGCCCTGGCCCCCGGAGACGGACACGATCGGATCGGATGTGGTTCCACACACGAGGGGCCCCGGGAATGCGGGCCCAGAGGCGGGAGGAGACGCGGGCTGCTGCTCCAGCGACAAGGGGTGCTCCGTCCCCCGGGGCTGACCCCAGCCGCCCCAGCAGCTGTGCACACGGGGAACCAACGCCCCGCGGCCCGGGGCCCACACGGTGCACGCGAGGCCACGGCAGAACCAAGTCCAGAGCGGGAGCCGCGTGCACTGAGCCAGGGAGACGCGGGCGCCGCACCCACTGCAGAGGGAGGGGGGCACGTGGGGAACCCAGACAAGAAGGAAATGAAGACAGGGAGCCACACGGAGCAACAGACTTCTATTCTGTTTTCAAATAAAATATATCGTCACCCGGCCAGCGTGGCTCAGTGGTTGGGCGTCGACCTATGAACCAGGAGGTCAGGGTTCGATTCCTGGTCGGGGCACAGGCCCGGGTGGCGGGCTCGATCCCCAGTGGGGGGCGTGCAGGAGGCGGCCGGTCCGTGATTCTCTCTCATCACTGATGTTTCTCTCTCCCTCTCCCTCTCCCTGACTCTGAGATCAATAAACATGTTTTTTAAACATATTGTCCAAAGGGCGCACGGAGCTCGGGGACACGCAGAGGCTAGAGGGGAGCGAGAATGGACTGACTCCGTTGGACAGAAACTTCCAGACTCAGCTCCCATCTCACTGCAGTGGGACCTCGTTTCTCGAACGTCGCCCGTCTCCTACAATCCGCTCCCCCGGCCCCCCTCAGCCCCAAACCTTTCACGCAGATCCCTGTAGGATCAGACACGCGTCTCCCAGGTGACGGACAGGAGAGAATGCGCCAGCAGGAGTCAGTTCACCGCGACTAGAATCTCAGGATGCTCCAATGGGACTATTCTGGTGATCTTTATGCTTTTGTGGCTGCGTGTCATTTTCAATTTTATTTCTTTTTTTTTTTACTGTACGTTTCCCTTTCCTTTTGGTTAAATTTGCATTTACATTTCATGTCCTTTTTTTGTTGTTTATTTTAATACACTAGAGGCCTGGTGCATGAAATTCGTCCATGGGGGAGGGGGAGGGGTCCCTCAGCCCAGCCTGCACTCTCTCGCAATCCGGGACCACTGGCTCCTACCCGCTCACCTGCCTGCCTGATCGCCCCTAACCACCTGCCTGCCTGCCTGATTGCCCCTAACCACCTCTGCCTGCCTGATCACCCCTAACCACCTCTGCCTGCCTGCCTGATCGCCCCTAAATGCCTCCACCTCAGCCCCTGCACCCAGGACCCAGGCTTCCCTCCCTCTGGCTGGCCACAGGCACCCAGGACCCTGGGCAGTGACGCCCAGGCCCCGGCTTTGTCAGGAAAGACATTCAGAATGACGTCTGGAAGACGTCTGGTCTATCCGATCTAATTAGCATATTACCCTTTTGTTAGTATATAGATGTTTATTGATTTCAGGGAGGAAGGGAGAGGGAGAGATAGAAGCATCCATGATGAGAGAGAATCACGGATCAGCTGCCTCCTGCACACCCCACACTGGGGATCGAGCCCACAACCCGGGCCTGTGCCCTGACCGGGAATCGAACCCGGGACCTCCTGGTTCCTAGGTCAACGCTCAACCACTGAGCCACACCGGCCAGGCCACTCTCTCCCTTTTGTGACCAAGGAAGATGGAGGCTGGGGTTTAGGTTGGGACTTGGACCTGTGGCCCTGGAATTACAAAAGGCGCCAAAGGCTCCCAGCCCCTGAGCAGGGCTGGCCCAAGGGACTGGGCGGGGTGGCCCCAGGCCCCAGGGACACTCAGAGGAGCCGGTCTGCCAAGCTGTGTCCCATGCACATCTCCCCGCCCGCCACATGGGGAGGCGCTAACGAGAAGCTAACGGGGCGGCCAGGAGGGCAGCCCAGGCTGCACAGAGAGAATCATCTCAGGCGATGACAAGGCCAAGACCGGGAGGTGAGCCCTGGCCGGTGTGGCTCAGTGGGTAGAGCGTCGGCCTGCAGACTGCAGGGTCCCGGGTTCGATTCCGGTCAAGGGCACGGACCTCAGTGGCAGGCTCCTCCCCGGCCCGGGCCCTGGTCGGGGATCATGCAGGAGGCAGCCCATGGATGTGTCTCTCTCCCATCGATGTTTCTCCCTGCCTCTCCCTCTCTCTTCTACTCGCTCTAAAAATCAACGGGAAAATATCCTCGGGTGAGGATTGACAAAAAAATTTAAAAAAACTGGGAGGTGTAGGGGGGAAGCCAGGGCACAGAGCCCCAGCACGGGTGACAGGCCACGGCCCCCCTCCCACCCGGACCTCGGGGCCCCACAGGCACCCCCCCCCCCAGCACTCACATTCCAAGCGTGACACAGAGTCATGCGAGCACCCCGTGCCCGGCCGGCCGCGGCTCTGCTGTTCATTAAAAAGTCGTCCCCCCCTCGTCCCCCCCGCGGCCGGCACCCCTCCTGCTATGTAATCTGCAGACACGAGTACAAACCCCCCAAGTACAAACCCCCCATCCTGTTTAGAATACTCCGGAGTGTGACTGAAAGAGACACATTCCTCTGCGGGGGTCATGCTGCAGGAATGCCAGCAATGCGGGCCCCGAGGGGTCACCGATGAGTCCTCCTCCCCCTCCGCCTCCGTCTGATGGAGGGGGGCCAGGCTGACGCGGGTTCAAGGAGGCAAGCTGGGGCCGAGCCGGGCCGAGCCTCCCCTGCAAACAGGTGACGAGACGATCACAAAATAGAAAAGCAGCAGGGATGACCTGCCTCCATGCAGGAAAGCCGTAGAAGGGGCTTGAAGCGATCGGGAACACGGAGGGAGCCTGGCCGGCGTGGCTCAGTGGTTGGGCTTCAACCTAGGAACCAGGAGGTCCCGGGTTCGTTTCGATTCCCCGTCAGGGCACAGGCCCGGGTGGCGGGCTGCATCCCCAGTGGGGGGCGTGCAGGAGGCAGCCGATGCATGATTCTCTCTCATCATGGATGTTTCTTTCTCTCTCTCTCCCCCTCTCCCTCCCTCTCTGAAATCAATAAAAATATAAAAAAGAAGCCCTGGCCGGTGTGGCTCAGTGGATAGAGCGTCGGCCCCAGGACTGAAGGGTCCCGGGTTCGATTCCGGTCAAGGGCACGGACCTGGGTGTCAGGTTCACCAGGCCCTGGACGGGGCGCGTGCAGGAGGCGGCCCATCGAGGTGTCTCTCTCTGTCTCTCCCTCTCCCTTCCGCTCTCCCGAAAAATCAATGGGAAGACATCCGCGGGTGAGGATGCACAACAACAAAAATAATACGCGATAAAAACAGAAGCGCAATATGCTAATTAGACCGGACGTCCTTCCGGACATCCTTCCGGACAATCTCCCAGGCGAAGCCAGGGCTGTGAGGGAAGCCCACGTCCCCGGCGCCAGAGGGAAGCCGCTGCCGGCAGCCGGGGGAAGGACGGCCCAGGCTTGTGTGAGTTTCGTGCACCGGGCCTCTAGGAATACATACAACAGGTGGAAAGGTGAGGGAAGGGAAGGTGAGCGCGTGCAGAGACTCAGTTTGCGTAAAAAGGAAGAAGGGACCTGGGGCTCAGAGCCATGCCCCCCACCCTCCCACCCCCCCACACACACACTCCGGGAGACACGTTCTGAGAAAGTCGACTGTCGCGGAACAGCCAATCCCGGAGACACGGGCGAAGGTCGTCGATCAAGGAAGAGAGACGCGCCCAAGACCAGGAGAGGCGGCCTTCGGGTGAGGAACACGGCCGCGGCCGCCAACCCTGAGGCCGCGGGGAGCTGCGCCCGTCGTCGTCGCCGCGGAGTCAGGAGAAACGAGCCCCGGAACCGATCGCAGGACAAGAGGCAGGAGGTGAGCGCGATGAGGACTCGGCTCGCGTGCCAGGGGACCGGAGCCAGGAGACCCGTCAACGGAGCCGGGGGAGGGGACGCGGGAGGGGCGGGCAGAGAAATAGCACAAGGGCGCCTGCTTCCAGCCGAGACGGGGTCACCGGGGGGTCAGATGTCCCTTCCCTTCAAAAGAATCCAAACGGCCCTGGCTGGTGGCCCAGTGGTTAGAGCATCGGCCTGCAAA